TTTTTTGTTGGTGTTTCATTTTACTTTATTATATATTTCCGTTACTAACTTCATTTCAGTCTGTTTTTGGTTGTCTTTAAACTATTAGCCATTGTAATTTGATTAATTTTTATCTGTAATTTGTTTGTTGTTGTAACCTTTAACCTCCTTCAGTAGGTTGTTCCTTGAGTTATAAATTGTAGGTACCGGTACTCCACAAATATCTTGAGTACCACTGATTAAATTTTAAAGAAACTACCTATATAGGTGCTTTTAGATAATCCACAGATCTGATTACTTCAGAGTTGAAATCCATGCATACTAACTACCTGTTAGTTTCAGATGTGTTTCTGAATATGCATAACTGTAATGTACTAAGTACTGTTGCAGATTTTGTCTGACAAGATATATGACCAAAATATTAAGTCATCATATACGGTCATTATTTCATTAACGGTAAATATTAATTGTTGGAACCACACTATTCATTTGGTCTTTTAGTAGCACATTTGCTTACTGTAAAAATAAGGGACAAAGACGAGTCTATAGTCAAAATAAGACACATTTCAATGATTTTGCATTCAATGAACACACTGCTTTTTATGTGTAATGAAATTGTGCTAATATACACGTAGTAAATAAATCATTCCTTAATTGTACTTCATACCTCCAATACTTTAAGCACACTGGAATTTTTTTCTAAGCTTTCTTTGATAAAACAATTATTGTGTATATACAGAAAGTCCAAACGAAAGTCCAGAAAAAGAACACAATGTTTCCTGATGAAAGATCTCCACAAATGTAGGAGAATTATATTTATAGTATTTTTATATCACTTTTCATTCTCTAGATATTTTTTTTCATGGTTGAATCTTTATTAGTTCTTAAAGGCCACCTGCTCATTTCACAAAATACATAGAAAAATAAATACATAACTATTCTTTCCTGAGGTCAAAGGTCACCTTATGTTAATACATTCTTGTCTCAGAATGTGTGCTTTATGTACAAACATTGCTAGTTTTGTGATTATTTGGTCAGATTTATTTGACATACTGGAATCATTTTTTTCTGATGTTGGATAAGTATATGACAATGATTTCTAATGTGTTCATACATAGGGCATTTTAAAACGAATTGGAATTCATTCTCTAGATATTCAACTTTGCATGAATATACAAATAAAAATTATTTTAGTTGTTGCAAACTGAATAACACTTTTTGTACCCTTTTTGAATAAAACCTGAATAACCACTCGTCGATAAATTGCATAAAGTACATGAATAAAATATGTTGCCTTGACAACTACTTTATATGTATGGTTGGCACCATAACATGTATGCTACTACATGTATATTCTAAACTTTTGAAGTCTTACTTTTGAAAATGGAAAAGGAAATCATTTTCTCAGTTTTCCACAATGATTGCTATGATGTCATGCTTTACCCATGATCCTTTGCTGTTAAATCAAGATAGTTAACTCTCACTATACATGGATCAATGAGTAATTTAAAATGCACATTAATCTAATCAGATCTTATCTCATCTCATTGTGTCTGAATCAAGCTCAATTAAGACAAATAGGATTGGAGATCCTGATGATATTTCTTCATTTTATAAGACCATTCTCATTCTGTATTTAAAGAGCATTGCACACTACTGATCCTTGTGCTGTTTTGTGTTGACGCTTCAAACCATGACAATTATTGCTGAAATAAAAAACAAATACATTCAATGAATTAATTGTTTGTGGAAATTATATCGCATTAAATGGTGGTGGTCACTGAGCCACTCATGTGTGATATATGGGATATAGATGGCAACTTTGACTGTTGAGCCAACCAACGATTAGAAACTGAAATGTAATAAAGCTTTGGCTATGAAATTTCCTAGGTGATTTGAAGATATCAAAGGAGTCACCGGTGGTAATTATTGCACATTGCACCCAGGTGAAGAGTGCATTGGATTGTGGGAAAATTAATGTTTATCAACACAAATGTGACACATGCATGGAGCGACAACCATCTCCATTTATTGTTATCATGCCAATAATATTAATTTGTGTTAGTATCATTACCCGCTACATGTTTAGGGATTGGTCAGTTACTTCGGCCTAGGGGGGTCGGTGGATCAGTAGGGGGGGTTACCCTGTTTTTG